AGGGGAGAGATGGAGAGCTGCCAGAGGGAGCAATTCCCCAGCTTCCCCTGGGAAGTGCTTCCCTTTGCACCACACTGTGCTGGCCTCAAAGGCTGAGGGGGCCCAACAGAACCAGTTTGAGGGCCCACACAATCCCTACCCACAGGCTACTTACTTGAGAAGGGACAACTCCATCGCTGGAAAAGTCCAGGCCGGGAGCATCGAGCAGCCACTGAACAGGTGTGGTGTCAGTGCCTGTGGTGACCTCAGTCCCTGGGGTGTCAGCCTTCCTACGCCCAACAGGAATGGATTTCCGCACCTTCTGCTGGAAAAGGAAGGGCAGGGAAGAGAGGGATGTGTCATGGAGAGCTCCGACAGCAGTGCCAGGCTGAGCAGGGACAGCAGGCCCAGCCCAGGAGGCGATGGCTGCACGTACCTGTGCTGCCCTGTGGAAGAGACCAGAGGCACGGTCCTTCTCCTGTGTCCTGTGCCGGCCTGGATCTGGCAAAGAGCGAGCGTGGTCAGAGCTGAGGGGCTGCGGGACAGCCCGGAGAACACAGCCCAGCCCTGCGCTCCACAGGCAGGGCCAGCCCCGGGATGCCCAGTGCATGGAGCTGCCGGGGGGTCAGCCATGGGCCCTCTTCCCCCTCCCTATCCCTGGCCATGTCCACAGAGGATGGGATGGGAAGAGGCCCATCTGGCTGCAGCCACCAGTCCTGTGGCCCAGCTCTGTCACTCACCTTCCTGCAGGGGCTCTAACTGCTCCACCTCTTCAGGATGTTGATCTGGTGAAGCTTCAGGGCGCTCCTCCTCTTCCTTCTTTACACGGGCCAGCTTTGGAAGCCTGCTGGGTCTCCGCTCCATGCCTCTGTCTGGTTTTATGGCTGCCTGCAGGAGACATGGCACAGAAAACCTCTGGGTCAATAAAGAAGTACCTTGAAGGTACCGGATAAAAAGAAGCCTTGGGAATGCTCGAGGTCATCAAGTCCCACATTCTGGCCTGGAGTGGGCATGGGGAAGTTGGAGAGCTGCCAGAGGGAGCAACTTGCCCACTGTCCCTCAAGAAGTGTTTCCCTTTGCACCACACTGTGCTGGCCTCAAAGGCTGAGGGGGCCCAACAGAACCAGTTTGAGGGCCCACACAATCCCTACCCACAGGCTACTTACTTGAGAAGGGACAACTCCATCGAAAGAAAAGTCCAGGCTGGGAGCATCGAGCAGCGACTGAACGGCTGTGGTGCCAGTGCCTGTGGTGACCTCAGTCCCTGGGGTGTCAGCCTTCCTACGCCCAACAGGAATGGATTTCCACACCCTGGGAGGTCTCCGTTCTGTGTCTCTGTGGGGCATCCTGGTTACCTGCAGGAGACATGGCATCTAAAAGCTCTGGGTCACCAAGTCCTGCAGAAGTGCCTCGAAGGCACCTGAAACAGGAGCCTTGGGAATGCTCAGGCTCATCAAGGTCCACAGTCTGGCCTGGAGGGGACATGGGGCATTTGGAGAGCTGCCAGACACAGCAACTTGCCCAATTTTCCTTGAGAAATGTTGCCCTTCCCACCACACTGTGCTGGCCTCAAAGGCTGAGGAGGCACAGCAGACTCAGCTTGAGGGCCCACACAGTCCCTACCCACAGGCTGCTTACTTCCACAGAGACAACTCCCTCCTCGAGAATGTGCCGAACGAGGGCTTCAACTAGGCACTGAAGGGATGTGGTGTCAATGTCTGTGAGACGCTTAATCCACGGGGTGTCAGCTTGTTCCTTGGCCTTCAGCTCGTTCTCATTGAGGTCAGGCTGTGACAAGACCTTGGGTGGTGAGGTCCTGGCCTCTTCAGGCTGCTGTGCTGGGGCAGGCCCTGAGCTTTCTTCCTCCCCCTTCTTCAACAAGGCCAGCTCAGGCACACTGGGAAGCCTCTGTTCCGTCTCTCGGTAGGGCATCACCTGCAGGAGACATGGCATCAAAAAGCTCTGGGTCACCAAGTCCTGCAGATGTGCCTTGAAGGCACCTGATAAAAAGGAGCCTTGGGAATGCTCTGGGTCATAAGGACTGGTAGTCTCGCATGGAGAGGGCAAGGACCAGTTGAAGAGCTGCCAGAGGGAGCAACTTGCCCACTGTCCCTCATGAAGTCTTTCCCTTCCCACCTCACTGTGCTGGCCTCAAAGGCTGAGGGGGCCCAACAGACCCAGCTTGAGGGCCCACACAGTGCCTGCCCACAGGCTGCTTACTTCAGTAGAGATGACTCTCCTCTGCGGAACATCCACACTGGCAGCATCAGGCAGGCACTGAACGGGGGTGCTGTCAGTGTCTGTGATGCTCTCAGTCGTTGCACCGTCAGCCTTGGCCTTGAGCTCACTTGGTGTCAGGTCAGGCTGTGCCAGGACCTTGGTTGCTGAGGTCTTGGCCTTTGTGCGCTTAGCAGGAAGCGATTTCTTCATCCTCTGCCGGGGAACTAAGGGCAGAGTAGAGAGGAATGTTCCATGGAGCGTTGTGACTGTGCATGGAGCAGCCAGGACATCAGCCAGGGGCCCTTTGACCCCCTCCCGTTTCTTTGGACATATTGACACGGGAGGATGAAGATAGGATGGCATGGGAGAAGGCCCATCTGGCTGCAGCCACCAGCCCTGTGGCCCAGCTCTGACACTCACCTTCCTGCAGGGGCTGGGACTGCTCTGCCTCTTCAGGTTTCTCTGCTAGGGCAGCCCCAGGGCTTTCTTCCTTCCCCTTCTTCACCAAGGCCATCTCGGGCACCCTGGGAGGTCTCCGTTCCTTGTCCCTGTGGGGCTTCATGGTTGCCTGCAGGAGACATGGCATCAAAAAACTCTGGGTCACCAAGTGCTGCAGAAGTGCCTTGAAGGCACCTGAAACAGAGGAGACTTGGGAATGCTCTGGGACTTCAAGTCCCACAGTCTGGCCTGGAGGGGACATAGAGGAGTTGGAGAGCTGTCTAAAGGAGAAATTCCCAAGCTTTCCCCCTAAAGTGTCTCCCTTCCCACCACACTTTGCTGTCCTCAAAGGCTGAGGGGGGCAAGCTGACACAGCTTGAGGACTCACACAATCCCTACCCACAGGCTGCTTACTTCCACAGAGACAACTCCCTCCTCGAGAATGACCAGACTGAGATCATCGTCCAGGCACTGATCGGGTGTGATGTCAGTGTTTGCGATGCCCTCAGTCCGTGGGGTGTCAACCTTGGCCTTCACCTCGGTCACACTGGGGTCTGGCTGTGCCAAGATCTTGGGTGAATAAGTCCTGGCCTTCCTACGCCCAACGGGAATGGATTTCCACACCCTCTGCAGGAGAACAAAGGGCAGAGAAGAGAGGGATGTGTCATGGAGAGCTCCGACAGCAGTGCCAGGCTGAGCAGGGACAGCAGGCCCAGCCCAGGAGGCGATGGCTGCACGTACCTGTGCTGCCCTGTGGAAGAGACCAGAGGCACGGTCCTTCTCCTGTGTCCTGTGCCGGCCTGGATATGGCAAAGAACAAGCTCTGTCAGAGCTGAGGGGCTGCGGGACAGCCCGGAGAACACAGCCCAGCCCTGCGCTCCACAGGCAGGGCCAGCCCCGGGATGCCCAGTGCATGGAGCTGCCGGGGGGTCAGCCATGGGCCCTCTTCCCCCTCCCTATCCCTGGCCATGTCCACAGAGGATGGGATGGGAAGAGGCCCATCTGGCTGCAGCCACCAGTCCTGTGGCCCAGCTCTGTCACTCACCTTCCTGCAGGGGCTGGAACTGCTCCACCTCTTCAGGATGTTGAGCTGGTGAAGCTTCAGGGCGCTCCTCCTCTTCCTTCTTTACACGGGCCAGCTTTGGAAGCCTGCTGGGTCTCCGCTCCATGCCTCTGTCTGGTTTTATGGCTGCCTGCAGGAGACATGGCACAGAAAACCTCTGGGTCAATAAAGAAGTACCTTGAAGGTACATGATAAAAAGAAGCCTTGGGAATGCTCGAGGTCATCAAGTCCCACATTCTGGCCTGGAGTGGGCATGGGGAAGTTGGAGAGCTGCCAGAGGGAGCAACTTGCCCACTGTCCCTCATGAAGTCTTTCCCTTCCCACCACACTGTGCTGGCCTCAAAGGCTGAGGGGGCCCAACAGACCCAGCTTGAGGGTCCACACAGTGCCTGCCCACAGGCTGCTTACTTCAATAGAGATGACTCTCCTCTCAGGAACATCCACACTGGCAGCATCAGGCTGGCACTGAATGGGTGTGCTGTCAGTGTCTGTGATGCTCTCAGTCGTTGCACCATCAGCCTTGTCCTTGATCTCACTTGGTGTCAGGTCAGGCTGTGCCAGGACCTTGGTTGCTGAGGTCTTGGCCTTTGTGCGCTTAGCAGGAAGGGATTTCTTCACCTTCTGCCGGGGAACTAAGGGCAGAAAAGAGATGAATGTTCCATGGAGAGCTCTGACTGTGCATGGAGCTGCTAGGAGATCAACCACGGGCCCTCTGACCCACTCTCGTTTCCCTGGACATATTGAAATGGGACGATGAAGATAGGATGGAACACAAAAAGGCCCATCTGGCTGCAGCCACCAGCCCTGTGGCCCAGCTCTGCCACTCACCTTCCTGCAGGGGATCGGACTGCTCCACCACTTTAGGCTGCTCTGCTGGGGCAGGCCCAGGGATTTCTTCTTCCCCCTTCTTCACCAAGGCCAGCTCAGGCACACTGGGAAGTCTCTGTTCTGTGCCTCTGTAGGGCTTCACCTGCAGGAGACATGGCATCAAAAAGCTCTGGGTCACCAAGTCCTGCAGATGTGCCTCGAAGGCACCTGAAACAGAGGAGACTTGGGAATGCTCTGGGTCATCAAGTCCGG